CTCTATACATGGTCTCATATTCACTGCGTATGTTTGCATCTCTATACATGTTCTCATATTCACTGCGTATGTTTGTATCTCTATACACGTTCTCATATTCACTGCGTATGTTCGCATCTCTATACACGTTCTCATATCCACTGCGTATGTTTGCATCTCTATACATGGTCTCATAGTCACTGCGTATGTTTGCATCTCTATACATGGTCTCATATTCACTGCGTATGTTTGCATCTCTATACATGGTCTCATATTCACTGCGACTGTTTACATGCACTCTCCTGTGCAGATTGAGCATTTGGGCCATGCAGCACGTGTGGGAACAACGGAAGTCCAAGAAGTCCAAAGCAGCGACGGCTGCGGTGGAGCCATCAGAGGCCACAGCGTAGTTTTATATATTCCTGATGTTCGGGATACCATGCCCATACTACATTTGATACCAGCATAATATAGAACGAATGATTTCCCATTTGTTATGAACATAGTATAGGACTAGTGATTCCCCATTTAATATTGACATAGTATAGGACGAGTGTACAGGCTAAGTGTTGAGTTTGGGAAGCTTGTACTTCTCGATCGATGGCCATTTTTTAGTCTAAGGATAAGCTTTACATTATCCCACTCTCTATGGAGCACAATCGTACAGTTCGGGTGCGCTCACCGACCATACTGCTCATTCATATGATATGCCATGGCAACGAGATTGCACGTATATACCACTTACAGACAACTGGCTTGTGTAACTGTAACCCAACATGTGGATGATCAATGCAGATCCGTTTCACATGAGTGTGTCACAACAATGTGGATGAATGAAGAGCGTCGTTCAATCCACCGCACTTACCCATCATTGGATTATACCTTCGTTTTTGTGTGGATGGGAATATCATTCATATTATATTGAGCTGTACAATATGCTTTACTACGTATAAGAAAGTATAATAAACCTCAAGTTTCAATTGAAAACTTGTTTACACAAATAAATACATAGATATGTATATAAATATATTTACATTTATGGATATATGTATAAAAGCAATATGTCCATACATGCATACATACATGCATGCATGTATATACATGTATCTATGGATAGGCATATACATATACATATATGTATATATATATATATTTATATATATATATATATACACGAATAAGTATGTATATAAATACATATATAAATGCATATATATATAT